CCCCAAAACCCCAAAACCCCAAAACCCCAAAACCCCGGGTAGGCACAGAGGTTTTGAATGGAAATAAGAATTATAATTTAATAAAATCTATTAAGCTCTAACTCCATATAATTTGTCCTTTTACTAATTCCTATCCTATACCTCAAAAACTGACTAAAATTGAACTGACCCTCTAAAACTCCCTTCGTCAAATTACAGGTTCTCAAATTCTTATTCATCATTATCTGAGTCAGTGTCTGAGTCAATGAACCTTCTAGTATCTTTCTGTCCCTTAGGCTTTTTCTGGGTTTGGTCGCTTATTTCAGGCATCATTTGTGATTGGCCAATTCCTGCTGCTCCTTTTCCGGACTTGTTTGAACCTCTGATGCTTGCCTTGTTGGCAAATCTATAGGAGGTTAATTTTTACAGAAAGGGCTGGTTATTTATATACTTATTTGAGTCATTGTCGGAATTTCCATCTGAATCACTAAAGTTCATTCGCTTGGCTTCCTCCTCGAATTTTTGTCCCTTAGAAGATTCCTTGTTAGATTTCTTTGAAGATCTTTGGTCTATATGAATGAGTGGGATTTAGAATTTAAATCAGAAGAATTTTGGCCTTCATCTGAATTTTCGGAGTGATACAATGGTATCTAATTATTAATACCTCCTTTTTCATTTTTAGGCTTAAAATAAGCAAGTTAAGCCTTATAGTTAATGAGAGATTATATCCACAAATTTATATTGGGACTAAAAATGGAAATTTTAGTGAGAAGATTTAGAGTTTGATACTCTTATTGACGCTAAAATTATGCCTCTGAAGTGTTTAGGAAAATCAAAAACCACTTATGTAAAAATATGAGTGTTTGCTATATTCCACAATCTTTCTAGACTCAATTGTAGTAAAATTTCAAAAACCTAAAAGATCTTTAAGGGAAAACAAGAAGACTCTCTTCTAAAATCAAGGATTCAGTAAAATCCCAAATCAGGCTCTTATAACACAATTCGTCATATCCATCATCCTTAGTTTCTTCAATCTTACCTTCTTCATCTTCATCATCAGCACCGGCATCATCGCTATCCTCTTCAGAATCGATATCTCTTCTTCTATTTATAACTTTGGGTTTAGTCTTAGATTCCTCCTTTGGCTTCCTTCCTTTATTTCTTTTACTAAAAGGTTACACTGGCTTTACGCTTTAGAGTTCTTTTTATTCTTCTCTTCTAAAGAGAGTGAGAGAGGGAAGTACCTTTTTCAAGTTCATCTTTTAAGTAATTCTCCCATCTTATTAGCCCTTCTACGTCCCTATAGGTGAGGAAGAGGTCATACCATTGGTCGGAGTCGCTTGGTGGGGGCTTGTCTTTGTAGATTGGTTTCCAATTTTCAGCTTTGTGGGGATTTTCTTCTAGATGGGTTGTATGGAGAATTTACCATCTGATAATTCACTATCATCTCCTATGTCAGAGTCAGTGTCGTAGTCAAGTGTTCCAAAACCTTCTGGGTTTAGTCTAAGGTATAGTTAGAGATTCTTGGATCACATTTTGTGGAAAAGTTGATAAATAGAAGACTTCCTTTCATTTAATTTAGTAAAAGTAAAAATAGCAAGGCTTACTCAGTATTCATCCTTCTAATAATTTCTTCATCTTCTTCGTCGGAGTAGTCTGGGACTAGAGATTAACAGCCAATACGATACAGCGTTCTTTAGGTCTAAGAGGTTGTGACCATGCCTGCTTGAATAAATAGTAGTTTTCATCATCATAAATGCATATTTCTAGAATGTTTGTTAGGCAAAGACAAATGAAGTGGCTTACTGATCTCTTTAGGGTAAAACACTACTCCATCAAAGGAATCTTCAGGGTACATGGTGTTCATTTTATTCTTGTTAAGGAAACTAATATAGTTCTTCCTGATTGCTAGAGTCAATATGTCATTAAAAGTAATATCGAAAGGTGGGAAATATTAGTAATAGGCTCTGATAAACTCATATACTCAGATTTATTTTATCTTAAGTAATCTTAGTTTATTCTTACCTTTCTTGATGAAATTTGCAGATACTTCAACTGGAATGTTGAGGTTTCCAATTCCTATGGCGGGAAAAGCAATACTTTCGATCTTGTCCTCTCTACACCTCTTCAAGATTCTCCTGATCATTCTAACCATCTGAGCTTCTTCGAAGCTTTGAGAAACATAGGTGTCAGGAGAGGCATTAAAGATGGTGACAAAGTTTCCACTTGGATCCTTTTTGGTTCCTTTAACTACAATCACTCTGAACTAAACCTTGTTAAGAGTAAGCTTACATGATTATCGTCATCTATTTTATAATAAACAGGGAGAATATCATTTTGTTTCGCATCTTTAAGCATGTCAAGATATTTGGTTTGTCCTTTCTATAGTTTATGTTTAAGAACTGGAATTGTTAAAAGAATGACATTCTAGAATTAATACTTTAGAATGCAGTATTTTTGAATCATTGTGGACCTTAAATCTATCACAGATGTTTACACCTCACTGTAAACTCTAATATGAATGATTTCTGGACCAAATTCTAAGATCTGAACTAAAGGCCCAAAGTTTAGTACTAAATTCTGATTGACTAGGCTAAATAAGTGTTTTGAAAATATTTATGGAAAGCATCCTGCTGTTAAAGGTCTAGTTTACCTTGATTCTTAGATTCTCATTTTTCTCTTCTTCATCTTCTCCCAGATCAATATTGTTCTGAAGTTTTAAAGCGTAGGAACTTACCTTGATGATAGCCTTTGAGACTGGCCCATTCAATGCTATAGTTCGTGTTAAGATTTTAAATAATAACGATTTTGAGGAAGAAAGCAAGGCCTTAGAGAATTGGAATGCTTTTAAGGGAAGAATACAAAAATTCTTGGAGCTAATAACTTTATAAGAATCTAAGTAGTTCATAGTAATTTAATGGTATACCATCAACTAGAGTAATATCCATACTAGACCTGGATCTTTTTATTTCCAAGAGTTCTCTAAAATCTTTCAAAGTAAGAATAATTCACCCAAGGATTAGGATACTCTTGAAGGTAACTGATTTAGGAATTTTAATACAACTTCTAGTTATTAGGTAAAGATTTCAGATGCTTTGAAGAAACTCCGTTGATAAGCAGAATGCAACCTGTCAAAGATTATTTGCAAAGAGCAGGATTCTCTTGACTAGAATCTATTCTAACCTAATTTTGTATATCCAAAATACATCAGTACTCTTTTCTAAATGACTTACCTGGCAATGTAAGAGGCGATTCATTAGATATTGTATTAACCACAGCTTGGCATCCTGAATTCGCAATATCTTCCTTCTTGGGCTCAACATTACAAATCGGCAAATGCTAAAAACACAGTTAAACCAACATCAAACCTCTCTATGACTCCTTTAAGACCCTAGCGTGCCTTATGAGCTCTAAAACCCAAACCAATACCTTATAGTTGTTAATCCAAAATGAAGAAATTGCATTCTTATTCTTTTCCTCTTTTCCTTTTCTTTTTCTTTTTCATCCATTACAACAATAATTAATTAAATTACAATAATCTGCAAGAAAAAGGGGTTTTGGGGTTTTGGGGTTTTGGGGTTTTGGGGTTTTGGGG